GTACAGTTTTCTCAATGAGTTTAAACTCTAGAGATGTAATATTCTCAGGATATATGTAAAATACGATGCTGAACAAGGTTACTTAAGACGCCAGGACAGGTTGTCTTAGTAAAATAAATAGTTATGGGTGTTTTTAGACGAACGATTTTTAGTTAATTTTTGTGCAATGGATTTGCAGAACCTCTTGTTTTGAAATTTAAATTACTTTAAGATAAACATTTATTTATAAAAATAATACAACAGCAAATTAATTTAATTTATTTAAAAGTATTACATATCAGTATTATTTTTACATTTATAATTACTAGAATGATAACTACTACTATATAGTAAATTTATTTTTTTATAATTACAATAATTTTTTTCATACAAATTTTTGCAATTGTATTTAATATTACCAATTTGTGAAGAAGATTGCATAATCGATGCCTCATGGATGCTTATAAGTATTGAAGAGATATTATCCAATTCAGAAAACTTATCAGAACTTAAAGAAAGAAGTTTGTTAGCATTATATATAACTTTAATAATGCCTGATTTATATTTAAGTTTATATATGTTATTTTTTAATATTTCAAGAATTTTGCATAGAAGTGTTTTTCAATTAGTATGTGTTTTATCAATACTGAAAATCTTGATGTGTACTAAATCTTTAACATTATATTTGTTGTTAAAATTTTTATTATGCTTATTAAGTTGTGACTTTATGTTATTGCAATTTCATTTGAGAGACTTTGTAGCAACACCTCAATAAATTTTATAAGCTGATGTTTTTTGAATGTTATTCCTATTCCAGAGTGTATGTTTAGGTTTAGAGCTATGTTTATCTAAAAAAGACTACAAAATAAAAATAAATTTAACTTATAATATATATTAAATTAAATAACATATAATTACCTGTATATTGGTGCCCATAGTGATAGTTATCAAAACAGAAGATTTATGTTTTTTACTTGGATAAATGTTGGGAACATTTTTAGGCAGCCTTCTGCCAACAAATTCATCTTCAGGTAAACTTCTTCTAATGACTTCATCTTTAGGTAAGCTTCTATCAACAGCTTCATCTTCCAATAATTCAATCAAACATTTTCTTTATTAGATATCTATTTATTGAATTTTATTTTATTAAAAATTTTTTTATTAAAGTGATAATATTAAATACTTACACTTATTACTACATTTTTTTTCAGTTACCTTTATGCTCAACTTCTCATATGACCTTTTGTTTATCCTTTTGCTTAACTGATTATCCAATTTTTCATCCACTATGTCATCTAATGTTTTATTATTTACTATTTTATTTATTATATCTTCATCCAATTATTTATTCTCCAATTCACACTCAAGCAATTGCTGTTCCTAGAAGAATTAAATTAAATTAAATATATAAATATTTAATTACTATTTTTTTTAAAAAAAAAATTACCTTTGCATTTAATACTGCAGTCCTAAAAGTAACTTTATAGCTTCCTGTTAATCAAAATCATTTTAAGGCTCAGGTGGTTTGAACCAATTATCAGATAACTCATCTTTTAAATTAATATGTTGATCTTTAATTTTTTTTAATATTGTAAAATGATGTAAAGGGTTTTGTTCTAATACTAAAGCATATAGACTATTTTTAGTTTGTCTTGATGTTTGAATATTCATTGCATCTATTAAACAATTTAAATAACAATAAATTGTTAAATTAAAAATTTAAATAACAATAAATAATTGTATACCAATAGTGTTTCTTGGTAATAATGCTAAAGGTTTAAAATAAAAATAAATAAAAAAATAAATTATTGATTAAATTAAAATTTTAACAATAAATCAAAAAATAGAATACTTACAACAGCATAAAGATACTACTTGAGACCAATTTTTTGTTTCAGTATTTTTCATCCACTTTGATACTTTTTGCTAAAAAATATTATTCATATGTTCTACAAGTCTCTGACTTTCTGAATGCCTCAGGCAGTTATTAATAATATAGACATTAGGCTAAATAGGTAATAATTCCTAAATTATTTATGCTATAAATTCATGATTATTGTTGCTCTGAAGAATAATTAGAGTACCAAAACAGATGAAAACATTAAAAAGAAAAATAGCAACTTCAATTGGTCTTTTACTTGTCAAAGCTCAGGCCCAAGAATATTGGGTAAAATAATCTCTTATGTGACAGATATAATAGTAATTCCCATCAGAGATACTGATCATAAAAATAAAGTTGATCTGAACTTTATTAAGAAAAGTACTGAAAATTATTAGTTTTGTGATCATTGAGTTGAAAAAATTTCTTTGTATTGTACATGTGCAATTTTTTACAAATTCTTTAATGAATGATTATGAAATATAGTATTATTATTCAGAAAGCTGTATTAAAAAAATATATATATATATAAATAACATTTTATAATATTAATTAAACTGTAGATTATAATTAATCTATAGATTATATACCACTTCTTAGAATTTTGTTGAATCAATATGTTTCAAGACTTCTTGATGTAAATTGCACAATATTTTATATATCTTGTCAATAGGATACACAGATAGATTTAAATTAATTTTTATAAGCTACAATATGAAGTTAGTTGGAATTTCAAAACTATGTAAAGTAAATGTTTTTTTGATTCAGTAATGATCTTTTATATTTTTAATTTTGGTATTTAAAGGATTTTGTAAAACATTAATACAAAAGTTAAAATTCTCATATGTAATAAAAGTTTTATATCATCTATTAACTGATTTAATCACAAGAAATTTGTCAAGCAACTCTTCAAATGCATCATGTAATAAAAATGAATAATCTTGAAATTCAACCATGAAAGAGTAAGAATTTTAAAATAAATAAAAAAAATTTTTTTTCAAATATATATAGAAAATTTACATAATTTTTTTCTTTATAATATGTAATATTAACCATCATAAACTATCATAAATTATTATATGTAAAATTACTATTAATTAATCATATATTTATTATATATCAATGGGTTTAGAATCAACTTAGGTTGAATTTAAATGTTATATCAACTTAGACTACATTTGAAATTCTATTCCACAATAATTCCATTTCAACATACAACATATACAGTATTATTAAGCTAGTTTGTTTATTTGTCATTATATTTTTTCATATATTTTAGTCAGGTGTAATGAATAACTTAATATTGCATAGGATTAGGGTTGCAATGAGGTAAATTACTATCTGTAAATTGTGGTAAATTGCATTAGGAATTTTTTTGACTGATGGATATCGATTGTTATTTAGGGTTAACATCTTCATTGATAGAAATCAATGATTATTGTGTATTGATTTCAATGAAAATTGATAGTTATGTATTTGGTCAATAACACTATCAATTATAATCGATAGAAATATCTAACGATTATAAAACCACCACTGATTATTAGTAATAAAAATATCCTGATCCGTTGGGTATTAGTGGAAACGAAGTTTCCGCTTGTACACATACGGTCAGGGTATTTTTACTAAATACCCAGTGATCTTGATATAGTGATCGGGATATTTTTGATTAAATTTATTCGATAATCATAGTACTCGTTATTAATCAGCCAAAAAAGTTTCCTGATGTACAAGGTAAAATTAACTATATATGGAAATTTGACCAATCAAATTGCAGAAACAAAATCAAATTTGAAGGTAATTTATAGGTAAATTAAATTGTAATTTATCAGGTAAATTGTTAAAGTTTTATCAACCCTGAGATAGATGCATATAAAGTGGTGACAAAAATGGTATTCGCTATTAATCCATTACGTATAATACTTATGATCATAATATCAAGTACGTTTTAAAATTAAACCAGGTATCAAACTCGGCACCAACAAATCTGTCCTACCTTAAACGCCCAATCTCGAATCTGAGATCTAAATCTCAAAAATGTTAGTTTGTTAGTAAATGTTTTGTTTTCAGGATAAAATTCAAATGTGGCTTTTTCCTTTACTATGATAAGAGGTTAAAGTAATTTTCTAGTACTTTGAAGCTAGAAATAATTGCAACGATTTTTATTGTGTAATTTTACGTCCTCAAAAGTACTTTATAAGCAAGATTATTTCTCCTTCCTATTATATGATATATTTATATAAAATCAAAATTTGGTATTTATCAACTATGTAGTAGATATTTTAATTAATCCAAATATATGTTTGCAATGAAAATTTTCAATGAAAATTTGTGATATAATGATTTATATAATGCATAGTTATCCCTTGATTGGAATACGTATATCATAAAATTTCAAATATAAATACGTAAGAACTTTTTGATTAGAGAAATTAAGAATTTAACCACATATCTTTAAGTACTCAATAAAAAACCATATTTTATTGGAAACAACCATTAACGTTAACTTTAAAAATTTTTAGAACATAATAAGCATTTGCATTGATAAACCATGCAAGTTTTTACCTGATGACGAATAAAACAGAAAATTATTAGAACTAGTAACATATTTAGACGAGTTTTATAAATTGGATAAAACTGGTAAATAGATTAAACTTTTCTCAAGCACCTCATTACCGAATGATGTGATTGCCTGAGAAAATTGATCGTACCTGCTATTTATGTTGAAAAATCAGATGCTGTAGGCAACAAGTTTTTTCATGGAGTTACTTTAAGTTCGCATTTTGCACAATGAATTTTCAGCGAAATTGTAATAATTGTGCACAACTCGAATCATGGGAGTTGTCCTAAATCAACCATGTATTTCTTCAGTTTAAAATAAAATCATAGCAACTATTTTTTATCATGAAGTTTTAATGTTGTAGCTTTGGTGCGATTTGCAATATAAAGCAAAAATCGTAATGTTTGAAAAATTACTTTTATCACTTGCTCAAATAAATATTCGTACTTCATAAGTTTGATTTACCAAAAAAAAAATATCAGCGTCAAATATGATCTGATTTTATTATTGTAATCCCGTAAAATTACCGATTTTGATCTGTTTACTTATGCGAAAAAGGCGTGAATGACTAGACGTAAAGAATTTGAAGTGGTAAAAAAAAAAAAAAAACAAAATTTGTTAGTATATGAGAAGCTGCAAATGTAAAGACGAATATAAAATATTTTCTTACAAACTTAAATTTTCCAGAACGCTGAAGTGACTGAGTGTCATCCATATCATTGAAAATACTGAGAAAACAGGCATAATAAATATTTTGTATTTCTTAAAATTTCTAACGCTAAGTTATCGAGATTCAAAACTAAATAGATTCAGAATTATATGTGAAATACCCCGATCACTATATCAAGATCACTGGGTATTTAGTAAAAATACCCTGACCGTATGTGTACAAGCGGAAACTTCGTTTCTGCTAATACCCAACGGATCAGGATATTTTTATTACGAATCCACTTGCTATAAATATAAAATTAATCTTTTAAAAATTTTAATCCTGTTATAAATATAAATAGATTACAACCTCTTTTGTTGGAATTATCAATATATTGAAACAAATTTCTAATAATTGATATTGATAAAAGAGTAACCCAAATTAATTGGTTTCGGGTTTGATTTCATCTAATTATGGTAGTTTTTTCTGTTAATTCAGTCAGTAAAAAACTATTTTACATGATATTAATTATTACAATTTGAATGCCAACCAAAGAAAGTACTGTATTTGTAACAAAAAAAAAAAACACCCATTATCATACGATCTTTTCGTATGAATATATTTAAGGTACTTCTAATCGCCGCCCTCCGATAACAGCAGCATCTTTAGATTCTTGTATATAACGTATTCCTCTCCTACTACGACTACTGCCTCTCTTTTTACCATTATTTTTACCATTTTTTATCTTCTCCGCCGCTAATTCATCATCACTATATGTATCATCAAGATTCTCAAACTCTCCATCAATCGATACATTTGAACTTCTATTACCTTTAGGCAATTTACCCATGCCATAAGCTATAACCCATAAAATTCCAAATAGCTCGAATAACCACATCAAAACCAAATTTGCAAGTCGGATACGACAAATGTTGATTGTGACGGTGACACTGTATGCAGCAGATGATGGACAGTATGGTGGAATTTCACCTAGTTCGTCTCTCGTAAGAACCGTGTAGATTACTAATATCGACATGAATAATACAAGTTATTGCGAATTTTTTCAAACATGTCATAATAGAATTTTATAATCATGAATAATTTCGAATAATTTACCCGCGATGATAGTCCATGCGATAAATGCTGGACTTCACTCGTCATCAATATAAAATCAATTTTATTATTAAATGGTAAATACGTATCGGGTGATTATGATTAAAGGGAAAAAAAATTCAAATCAAACTTTAATAATTACAGAATTCCTTCACTAACGGTTTCAAAGAACGCTTTTAGTCTAAACTTATGATATATTCCAGTTATGAGTAGGCAAACTATTTGTTAATTAATGAGTATATAACGTAAATTGACATGTAATTTGAATCGTTATATGACGATAAGAAAAAAAAAAACCATAATATGAATAAATGTCAAAACAAACAATATGACATGCATATATATTAAAAATAATAAATAAATAGTAAAATGATAAATAATATTAATACTTACTTGGTATTGAGACTGTAAGTCCCAAATAACTTTAAAAAATAAAGTATTAGCATTAATAAAGAACCAATCGTAGAAGTTTTTTTCAAAACAAAAGTTACCTTTCAATTTCTCATCGAATAATTCAAATATAGCTTACCAATATTCGATAACAATACTTTGATAATCTAATTCATTTCTAAGAGTTACGAATTTCGTGATTTCTATATTAACGTTATTCCCAACAAGATTTCCATAGGATATTAGTAACGAGTACATTAAAGGAAAAGTGAATTTATATGAAAACTCACCAAAGATAGAACAAAGTACTGATAACAATAACAATGGTATTCCTAATATCGTTGCGACAATATTTCTAATTTTAACTTTTCTATTGGCCATCTTTTAATTGATAACAAAATGGTCTTGGTTTATAGATATATGTAAAAATAGGTTTATTTTCACAAATTTTCGACGAAAAAAGACATCGACTATTTTTTTCTTCCAAAAAGTCAAAAAAAGAATGACGCGACAATTTTCACGATCTCGAAATGTGGAATAGTAGGTCTCGGGAACTAATTTACAAATGAGTAGAGTTTTTTGTATTAACGTATTAACATGATCATGTTATTTTTTTTTTTCTTATTATAAAAATGAAATAAAAAATTTGGTAATTATGATTAACGAAAAGTATCTTCAAAGCCACATTTATCACTAATATCGTGTGTGGCTAGTCATATATAATAAATGAAAACATGAATTAAACTTCATTGTTGAGACGATTTTGGTATTTTTATTTTGACAACTATTACAAGTTCTCACTCTTTCTTTAATTAGGGTCCGGGATGGGTCGGCCCGCAGGCTTTTTTGAGCTTTTTTTTTTTGGAAGCTAATCTGGGCCGTACCTTAAAAGTGTTGGTCACATGAAAAAATTATGTGGCTAGCATTTGGGGGAGCAACCCGAATTGTCTTCTAAAAAAAGCGAAAAAGCCCACGGGCCGACCCTTTCCGGACCCTATTCTTTAATAATAAATGTAACGGTAAAGTTTCAATTATATTAATTATATATTATTTTTATATATTATTTTAATTAATTATTTATTATTTATTATTTACGTATTTATCATTCAAATAATATATGAGGCAAATTGATTGTAATTCATTGTCATTAATGCAATTAACCAAGATTTTTTTTCAAGTTTTGGTCAATGTTGTATAATCGTAAAAAATATGTTTACTCATAATAATGGTATTCACTAAACATGTATCCAATTAACAACGATAATGAAATTTTATAATTGAAATTACTAAATTTAATGTCAATATTCATGTTGGCAAAGGTTTTTCTTGTTTATTTTGCACCTTCTTGTTTATAAGTTTTAAAAACTTTGAAGATATCTTGTCATTCATTTTATAAACTTTAACGAAATACTTTTTTCTATTTTAATTATAAATATCTGTAGAATTTGAATAAAAAATTTACTAAGATGTAAAAATGAAGACCTTTGTACTTCCATGTGGTTACAAGTCTTGAATTTTAAATGTGTTAATATGAACTTCATAGTCACTAAGCCACATATGATAATCAGAAATTTTAACGTACACGTGACTAATTTACCAAATTTGGGTTAACAGTATGAACCAGAACAGTATGGGGGTCGTTAAAGCCAGGTATGATCTACATGCTGCATAAATTGAATTCTTGATATCTATATAACCCGCTAACCATAACTGAATCAAAAAAGTAACCCTAACTGGTACTTGGAGAAATCCTGTATTGATTACTTACGATTTGTCACACGTAAAATGTTTAATTGAGTCAAATGATTGTCGCACTTATATTTTATATTAAAATTTGAGTCAAAAATTCTTCCCGACCCTTATTTGTTAAAAAGGAGTTGTTGAATTAATTTTGAAATAAGGTTTGCTTATTCCATAGCATTTGAAGGTTCTTTTCACAAAATTTTAGGGGTGGTTAAAAATAAAACGACAACTAATCTTTATTTACGGTGAATACAGTTTATACTATTGGTCGTCTCATTAAGCATGATACACCAACTTGATATATTTGAATTAAAATATAATTATACAAGGTTTTATATATTAACTTGCAATTAAATAAATATATTTAATATTTGAAGATTTATAGAATATATTTATCAAAAAAAATT